TGTGTGTGTGTGTGTGTGTGTGTGTGTGTGTGTGTGTGGTGGGGGTTGTACAAGAGCTCCCACTAGTGGTCGGCAGCTGCTGGTGTGCCGCCCTCTAGAGGCGAGGGCTCCCTCTCTGGGCACTAGGATCAGATGCATGGATGAGATACCTTTCTTGGCTCTGAATGGTGAACAGAGGCAGCCTGGCGAGAGGCCCCTCCACCTTCCCAGTCCCTCCCCTCCCGGCTCCTCCCCCTCCCCTCTAGGCCTCCTCCTTGTCCTATTCCTCCTCACGTTGGCCCTACAGTCTGTAGAGAAAAAAAAAAAAACAAAAAAAAAAACGGGGTCAGACTTCCTTCCTTTTCCTGGCTGGGCTCCACAGGCAACTGGGCCATTGTGTGTATGGCCTCAAGGTCGTTTCCTGTCCAGCCCAAGTCCATCTATGGCAGATGCTCGAGAAGGGGCGTCTGAGGACAAGGCTGAAGGAGCGAGAGGTGTCTTAGAGGTGCTTTCTGTATCTTGCTCTGTAACCCTGTGTGGCCTCAAATCTAAAGCAATCTCCCTGCCTCAGTATCTTGAGAGTGCCCTGTCTCATCTAGCTATGGGCCGTGTGTGTGCGTGTGTGCGTGTGTGTGTGTGTGTGTGTGTGTAGTTTTTTGAGACAGGGTATCTTTGTGTAGCCCTGGCTGCCTGGCGTCCTGGAACTAGATCCGTGGATTAGGCTGGCCTCAAACTCACAGAGACTGATGTGTATAAACAGGAGCGCTGGGAACTGGAGCCCCTTTCAGAGCAAAGCTTGGAGGGGAGAATTGGAAACGTCATCCATATCACAGGTTCCAGATGCTGTTGGAAGTGATATTGTAATTCCAAGAACTTATACTGGCTTAGGGTTATTATTTTCTTGGAAGGCAGAATAAATTATTTACATGACACGTCTATTAAGTATTACACAAAACGAGAAAAATCCACACCTGTGGAAAGATGCGTCTCAGAGATACGTATTATTGAGTTTTCCCCATCTACTGGGGATGGAACCCAGGGACTCATCATCCTAGCCAAGAGCCACGCCCTCAGCCAGTCCCTTAGGGGATTCTAGGCAAGGGCTCTACCACTGAGCCACGCCCCCAGCCCCTCACTGGGGGATTCT